GATTGGCTGTGTTTCAAAACCCTTTGGATGGTGCTATGTTTGTGGATTGTGAATAAAAGAGGCTGTATGTGCCAGTACAGTCAGATTCTGCTTAACCCTCAAACGAAGTGTCGTCTCGTTATTGGGGGAATTGGATTGTATGCTGACTGCCAGGAGTGTAAACCTTTTGTATGGTTTTTCCTGTTCAGCTGTTTCCAGTATTCGTGAGTTTCCTGTTCGGAAGTTGGAGAATTCGTGTAGCTTGCAGTTCGGGAGATTGGTGCTTACCGTAGCTGTCTGTGCATCTGAAAGGGGAATATCGCCTAAACGGTTTTTAACCTCTTGTGGGCAAAACGGTCCGTTACAATTGGTGGCAATCGACAGGATCATTTTTTTCACAGCCCAGAAGGACAGCTATAAGACAACACCAGTTCCTGGATTACAAATTGAGGGCAAAGTCAGTAACGTACAGCGACCCTATCTACAAAAGACCCAACTTCAGCAGCGCAACATGGCGCCCAACTACACTCAGAAGCCGTTTTGAAAGAGAAGTTACTGCGCTGCTGGCTTACTTTGGAACCAACCCCCCGGAGAAAAACGTACAGTTTGTGAAGAAAATAGTGGGAGAGTACTTGCCGTGGGAATCAGAGCGGGCGAGGGGGTGGGCCGTCCATCCTCCCCAGCAGCCGTGTGAGTTACAGGGAGCTGAAGGTGTTGTCCTTCCTCCCAGCGGCAGTGTGTGTCCCAGGGAGCTGAAGGTGCCGTCCTTCCTCCCCAGCGGCAGTGTGTGTCCCAGGGAGCTGAAGGTGCCGTACTTCCTCCCCTGCGGGAGTGTGTGTCCCAGGGAGCTGAAGGTGTCGTCCTTCCTCCCCTGTGGCAGGGTGTGTCCCAGGGAGCTGATGGTGCCGTCCTTCCTCCCCAGCGGCAGTGTGAATCCCAGGGAGCTGAAGGTGCCGTCCTTCCTCCCCAGCGGCAGTGTGTGTTCTTAGGAGGGGAGACAGTTGGTCCCTCTCCTCAGCAGTCAAGTGAGTCCCAGGGAGCCGAAGGTACCGTCCTTCCTCCCCAGCAGCAGGACAATATATTGAAAGGGGAGACAGTCGGTCCCCCTTTCCCCCAGCAGAGAGTGTGTCAGGGAGAGGAGCTTGTTGCCCCCTCTCCACAGCGGCAGCGTAGCCCACCAAGGGGAGACATTAAGCTCCCCACTGGCACAGATGGGACCAGGGTCTCTGCGTCCAAGCTACAGAGAGTACGGACAGCCGGTCCGGCTCCCCAGCGGCAAAGTATTCTACCAGGAGGGGAGAATACTTCCCAGTGGCGGCCTAGCCCACCAAGGGGAGATGAGAAGCCCCACAACCGTGCAGATGGGACCATGGTGTAACGGAACCGCTGGCACCCCGACCGGGTACCTTCCGCCGACGGATGCTCCTAGTGCTTTCCGAGGACTCCAAGCACTCTGCCTGACACCATAACCACTGCAGACCCCACGAACAGCCGCAGCTTGGTTGGGGTCTCGCCGTCTCCACCCATTCTGGACCCAGGACCAGGGTCCAGCTTCCAGCAGGTCGACCTCTCTCCCAATTCCAGAGAGCAGGAACAGGAACAAGCTCTTAGCAGAGCTTAGTGATTATACCCTGGGGAGTATAGTGATTATAGCAATCCCCAGAGTGTAGTTTCTCCAATCCCCCAAACATGAGCCGAAACTTCATGAAGGTACAAGATGATCTGACTCCAATGAGCGTTTATTACTGCTTATATACAAGTTTTCAGGTCAGAGGCACACCCCCTGGACCTGGTGGTAAACTGTGACAAAAGGGACACAAACCAATGGGAACACTAATTAACATGATAACACTCTCACATACACAATGAAATCCCTCCTCTCCATCCTGGAGATAATTGGCTTAAGGCACTGCAGTAAACTCAATTATCTCCAGGTACAGAAAATATCTACATTTAACACTAACAGCAAAAATACGTAAAAGTACATAAAAATACATAATTCTTATTTTATTACACAGAACCCCCACATTTAACCTATCCCCAGATAGCTCGGATCTGAGCGCCCAATCTAGGTGAACAATAGACAGGAAACGGGGGAGGGGAAGAAACACACCTTCCCATGGATTCCAATGGGAAGAAACTGTCTTTAGAAGCCAATAAGCCCCAAATAGTCTTTTTTAAATGGCAATACACCCCAGGGCCATAGTCATGAGGAAGGAGGCTGGCAATCAGGCTCCTCCAAAAGCCGGGGGGCAAAGGGCAGCTTGTCACCTAACAATCCAGGGACAAAAGGCATTTCGTCACACATCTCCCCTTTGGGGGGGAGACTAACCAGGTACCTGACCTGTCGGTCAGTGCCTGAGTTAGTCGATAAACCCACCCACAGTGAACAAGTACATGAGTAGCCCACCCACAACACACATTTACTGCACCTGGGTATTCCTCTGAGGTCACTGGGTAACACGCTTTGGGTG